GGCCGAGTCCCGGGGTCCCTGCATCAGCATTCCTCCCACACCCCAGCAGAGCTGCCTACACATGCTGGAGCGCGGGGGGACAGATAGCAGCAATCAGCCCTACGGACAAGGGGGCACAATCCCAGCACACAACACCGAGTGACTCCCTGCACACCCGTTTCCCTTCCCAGCCCACTGCTGAGCCCGTGCCCCAGAGCCACGGCTGCAGGGCAGGAGAGCTCTGTGTACTTCCTCTGTCAGCTGAGCAGGGCTCTGCAGCGAGGCCTGGACAAACATCTTGTGGGCTTTGCTCCGTGCCCCCCCAGCCCACTGCTGTGAGCCCTTCCCAAGCCCCCGTCAGGCCAGACCCCTGCCCTGCAGCAGGGTGTGTGCAGGGCCACCCCTCTCCTGCTGCCCAGGAGTGTTGCAGGTTCCCAGGGCTGGGCCTCTGAGCTGGAGGGGCTGGGGCCAGCCCCACCAAGCAGAGGAGAGAAAGCCAGCGTTTGGGCTGGAAAGTGTGTGCCTTACGGGGCAGGGAGCGGGACCGAGGCATCTCCCTAGGCTGCTGTAGGTGTGAAAATCCAGCAGCAGCCAGAGAGAAGCCACAAAGCAGCTGCAGACAGATGTGGAGGTTGTTCTCCAGGGAGAGCACAAGTGCCAGCACCACATCTGCCCAGTTCTGCTCTGGGCCCCTGGGTTAGCAAGCTGGGGGCTCAACCTGCCCCACAGCAGCTTGACCATCCTACCTGCTTCCCTGCAACCACACAGCCTCTGTCTTCCCTCCTAGTAGCAGAGGAAGGAGCAGAGCAGAGCCAAGGACAACTGAATCCTGGTACCCCACAGTCCCAGCTGCTGGTGGCCTTGGGGGAGCAACAGAAACATCCTGTATGCTCACCCTGCGGCCCCTTCCCAGTGCCCTGCACAACCGTGCTGCCAGGCACCAGCAGTGCCCCAGGACAGATGGGACACGCACACTGCAACTGCTGCTCGGAGCCCAGACAGCTTTTTGGGGTGCACAGCCAAACAGAGGAGACTTGTGCTGGGCCTGGGGTGACTGCTGGCAGTCCTGCCCCAGCCTGGGTGCCTGCACTCACATCCCTCAGTCCCCACTAGCCCAGCAGCATTGCGCTGTGGCCACACTGCCCACAGGACCTAGCGGTGTGGGGCTGAGTCAGGGCTGTTCTTCCACCCGCCCAGCCCCGCAGCCAGCTCTGCTCTAAACCCCGCGGGAAAGGCAAATGGGAGCCCGGGGTCCCCCTAGGATCACTGCCTCGGGGCCTGGACCCAGGCCCAGACAAGGGGCTGCCGTGGCTGCAGCTGCCCAGCACCCAGAGAGCTGCAGGCAGGTTTATTCCCAGCACAGGGGTGAGGTGGGGAACAGCGGGTGGGCTGTTCCCCCTCTCACTCAGCCAGGGCCCTGGGCAGGATGTCCCCACAGAGCCCAGGCCAGGGGCTTCCCTGCTAACTCACATCTACCACCCAGTATCGCTTCCCGGGGAAATGCCACAGTAATAAATAACTGTAAAAAGAGACTGATGCACCTTTTAAGCAAAGGAAAACCGTGGGGAGAGTTACAACCAGTGACTCGAGCACAGCCGAGGTGCACACCAGGGAGCGGGGGGCAGGCAGGGTGAGGCCCCTCCTGGGCTGGCCTCACGAAGCCGCCCGGCTCGCTAAGCCTGGCCTTGCCCTGCTGGGCCCCTGGCCGTGCCAGGCGGCAGCTAGCGGGACAGGGGCGTCTGTTTGAGGGAGATGAGCACCGAGCGCATCCGTGAGACATCCTTGCTCTGCTTGCTGCTCTTGGGGTTGAAATCACAGAGCTGGGCCACCTTCTCCCACTCGGAGCCTGGGGTTTCCTCCTTGGACTCCTTCAGGAATGCTTCCTCCGAGGCCCTGCAGAGAAGTTACGGGTTGTCACTGGCAGAACCCTTTCCAAATAAACCCTCCCCACTGTCTGGGAACCCCCTTCATGTCCTCACCTCCTGTCCCTTCCCCTTGCTCCAGCCAATGAGCTCAGCATCCTCCAGAATCCAGAGAGACACGATGCTCAAGGCTGCTGCTGGCTGCACTCACCCAAGATATCGCTCATCCAGGGGCACAGGGGTGTCTGCCTGCTCCCAAGACTTCTCCATCCCCAGAGCTGTCCCCCAAAAGGGCACAAGACCCCATGGCTTTTCCTCTTCAACCAGCCCCTCCAGAGGCATTTCCAGGAGCTCCACTTGCCTCCTAAGACTACACCATTTGGAGATGCTCAGCTGCAGCATCCTCCCTCTGGGACCTCGCCAGGGCCCAGTACCTCCCAGCATCCCCCCTCCCCTTGGCTGGGCAGCCAGTGCAGGGGCCTGCAGGGCAGGATACGGTGTGTAAGAGGCACATACACATAGCCAATCACATCGGCGTCCGGCTGCTGGTAAAAGGCTTTGTCAGCGATCCTAGCCCCCAGGCACAGACAGAGAGAGAGCGCAGAGCAGACAGGCAGGCAGAGGGTTAGAAAGAGAGAAACAGAGAGGGGGTTAGCGTCCTCCCACAGAGCCTGGCCCACTCACCACACCACACACGGCACCAGGAAAACCGGCCGGTGATGGCAGGACGGCACAGACAGCGCCCCAACCCTGCCCCCAGGCAGGAGGCACTGAGATTCCACTGTGAACCCAGTGTGGTCCCAGCCAGGACAGCTCTGTGCAGCCACCAGAGCTGCTTGAAGCCCTGGGGCCTCTGCCCTCCATCCCTGCAGGGCTGGACCCCACTGTGGGGACAGAGATCCCCAGACATCCCGGGAAGGCAGATCCCGCTGCAGCCCTTGCAGCCACACCGACCCTGACATACCTGTTGTTCGCTCGGTTCTTCTCCATCTGCTCATTCTGACGCAGGTTCCACTCCTCCAGGTCCTTCTTGGCCTTCTCACGCCACTCCTGCTCAGTCACCTTTGATGCCGCATCTAAGGCCAGGGTGAGACAGAGCCCATCAGCCAGACTGGCACCCACTGGGTCTGCTGGGCAGCCCCCCAGCCAGGCAGGACAGCTCCAGTCCCCCAGGCCTGTCCCCAGTCCCCACCACAGCACTGTCTGAAAGGTGTCACTGCCCCAGGGACAGCAGATCTTTGGCAGGGGGCACCCACACGGCGTGGGGCACGATACACCTCTCTGGGTGCAGCAGGGTCACCGCCAGCTGAGAGACCCCAAGGGCCCTGACTGCCACGTTGCGTGGTGCCACAGGCGTGGCCACACAGGGCCTTGGCTCTCACCCAGCTCCTCCAGCCGCTTCTTCTGCTCCTCCCTCCACTTGCGGATGCTCTCAGGTTCCTGGGTCAGCCGGTCGGCCTTGGCTATGGCTGCGTAGGCATCCGTGGGGCCGTTGGACTCCTGCAGGACACGAGCACCTCACCACCAGCACCAGCTCTCCCCACAGCCCAGCCACCTTGGAGGCCTGGAGCAGGGCAGGACTCCACACTCCCAGCACTTGGACAAGCCAAGATAGGAGGTAGGGAAGGTGACAGCCTGAGACATCTGGGACAAGTGTCCCCAAAGTGCTGCTCAAGCTGTTGTCCCAGCTCCCAGGCCCTGTCACCCAGAAAGACTTCCCAGTGTTCCCCTCCTTGACTTGCTGCTCGCTGCCAACGCAGCTCCCACATCGTCAGGGCAGCCCCACAGCAGAGGACAGCCACCGGCTTTGTTTCCTGGCCTACATAAGAACCGGTCTTACC